GGTTCTTACGCGGACAGCCTCTTAAGGGACCCTCGATTGGTTGAAGAGTTATTTGACAGGACGAAAACAGTTTACAGAGTTAAATGGAGTTAAGTGAGACCTTCTCCCAGTATCCATGGGGATACCTCATGGATCAGTGCTAGGACCGACTCTGTTCACACTTTTCACAAATGATCTGCCGCCATCTGTCCAGTTGGGGTCTGTATCTGTTTGCTGATGATACCACGGTCTTCTGTATAGGGGACATGGCAGACAAGGCCATCGCAAAGTTGAACAGGGCATTGAAGGAAGTTTATGACTGGTGTGGTAGAAACCAGTTAACACCCCATCCAAGAAAGAGCGAAGCGATGCTACCTTGTAAGAGAAACCCAATGGGGCCGATTGCCTCGGTGTTATTGGGTGACTCCAGTATAAAATGGGTGACTAAAGCACGTGTGTTAGGTTTGACAGTCGACCACAAGTGAACATGGGATGAACATTTTAATGGATGTTAAGAAGAGTTTTGTTAGCAAACTAGACCGGTTAAAACGATCTAGATTCTTCCCAAAAAGCGTTTTGAGAGACTTCTACTTTAAGGTTATTTTGCCCTCTGTTAAATACGGACTAGTACTGTGGGGAGCGTGTTGTAACTCAAATTTACTTGATTCAGTTGAAAGACTTCATTGTAGAGCATCTCAAATCATTTTTAACTTACCAAGAGACATGCCTTCAAAAGAGGTGCTGGCCTATGATCAGTGGCCCACTATTTACTTATATCATAAAAAAGATATTCTTAAGATCTTTTTTAAAGCACAAAATGGCTGCTTGCCTGAATTGCTGTCTAATAGTATTTACATAGAAAGGAGTAATGGATATTCACTACGGGGTGGAGACTGCTTATCAGTACAAAGATTCGAAACTAGACTTGTTATGGATTCGCTGGCTTACAGAGGCACTGTTCTGTGGAATACGATTTGTCTCAGTGAGAATGGAACATTGCATCTGAGCAACAAAGATCAATATCTGATAAGAACAAAAGATCATTTCAAGGATTTTAAATTCGAGACTACCTCCGCCTCTACAACATGGCGTAGAAATGCAGATTTTATATATAATTGATGATTATTTATGTATATTTTAGTGATATTTTACCTATTCAGTAATGATTTTATCTTGTAAAAAATTTTTTTTTAATTTGTAATTTGTAATGCACTAGTTACCAGTCTTGTCAATATTTTGACATTTTATTTACATTAGGATTTATGTCTTTAATTATAAATACACGACCCCACAAGCTTGCAGCTTTAAATTTTTATCGTGTTTAAATAATGGTCATCCATCCATCCATCATCCAGCTAAAAGTATTCTATAATAGTTCTTTTCTGGAAAATCGATGCAAACTAATTACAACAGACGAAACTGAGGTGTCTGCCTTC